ACAGGGGAGAGAGGGGGAAATTATGGCTTTGAACAGGATCGTGGCCTTTCATTTAAAGTAAATACTGCAATGAAATGGAAACTGCTTGAAGAATGAGACCGCCCTGGCTTTGTTCTGAGCAGATTAAGTTATGTATTAAAACCAGATAATATCAGATTCTTACAATGGCTTCAGCACTTTCACTGCAAATAACACAGAGAGAATCAGAAAGTGCTGCTTGTAGTGACCTGAAGGTGTCCAGGAAGCACACCAGTACCTACATGGTGTGAGGTAGCTGTGGAGAGCCAACCTCCAGCCAAGGATCTGTATTTTATGTTTCAATAAATGTATTTAACATTAAAAAGTACAATAGGAAAATTCAAAGTGAGTGATGCTTACTCCAGATTTATCTATGTGCTTTTAACTTGGATGCTCCAAGTGCAATCTCCTCAATTTCCACATAGGGGATGGAGGGAACCAAGCAGGGCACCCGGTGCTGAGTTTCCCTGAGGTTCCAATCTCTCTCCCCAGCTTCAGGCAGAGCAGAATGTGACAGGGTTCTCTGCTAGGAACTGCAGCAAACATCACAGGGTAAATCCAGGCTCTGCTTTGCTTTGGGAGGAAAACTTGCCCAGGGGGTGGCCTGAGCCCAAAGGTGACAGTCAGGATTTTTGTGGATGTGGGTGCAGCAGAAATATGGCAGTAAAGAATGTATCTGTAGCACTTGGATCCTGGCAGCATGGGCTCCTGCCTACCCGTGGATCAAGTAGCAGAGCCTTAGGCTCAAGATTTCCACACAGGAACAACAAAGCACTGAAAATACAGTGGATGCTACAGTGGATGCAGAATATTTTATAGTCCTTTTGCTAGAGTAAGCAGCATCTATAACAAAGCCATAGGGCAACTAACCGGCCATCAGTTTAAGTTACAGAGAGTTTCATTGTTTTTTGCTGAACTAAATATAAATGAAACAATTGATTGGCACCTGTGTTGCAGCCCAGCAACCAGCACCCTGTCTTCTCTGGTAAGCTGTGCTTCTTGTGATGTGCTGCTCACCTCCTCCATACTCTGCCATATAGCTGTGCCTTCTTTCCACAGATGGATGAACCACAGAAGAACTAATCACAGTTAGCTCTTCTAATACAAAGATCCAGCCAAGTGTATTTCATTAAAGAATATCAACAACAGCCTCCTTCCAAAATCCCCCTAAAGACCATACCAAACATCTGTGCTTACACAACAGTCTTCTTAAAGGCCTCCCTCTTTCCTTTCAGTACTGGCTCAAAATAACAAAGACAACATGATGAGTTACAAGTCTGTAGAGTTACGGCAAATTTGAGCTAGTAGCCAAAGATTAATATTATGATAAAAACGCATTATAAATATTTTGATAGTACTTACCTTTGTACTGCATAACTCCCACTGTCAAATCTTCAAAAGGTACTTCTGAGTGGAGCCAAGAGTTGAATTCAGCGATCCTTGTAGGCCCCTTCCAACTCAGGGTATTCTACGATTCCATGATTCTGCTGCCATTAGGTTTGAAGATGATACTTCAGCTGCTTTCCCAAGGACTCAGAATTCCGCCACATTTTCAAAAGATTGTACCCAGATATATGGATGACATTGCAGGGTGGGGAAATGCACATCGTGAAGCCAATAAACTTGAGAAGATTACATAATTTCTGAATAGTCTCATTTTTTTGCAAGGCCTAAATTCTCTTCCTTAATAATTATGCTTTTTTAATATTAAAAAAAAAAAAAAAGAAAGGAAAAACACCCAAAAGTCAGATTTAATTGTAGATATCAGACCTGTTTCAACATATTGTGAATAACTTACTGACAAAGTAGAGAAGACAGAATAAGACTTTGCAACATAACATTTATATTCTGTATTTTGCTTTACTACTGTAACTTTTAAAATGTTTTGTCCCTGATTTATTTGAAAGAAAATGAACTAGAAGTGAGGTTTCAACCCAGACAGTTTTCTCACAGCATTAGAAAATAAAAATGAAAGGCTGGAAAATGAACTGCAGGCTAAAAATATTCAGAGACAATTAAATGTAATGGAAAAAAAGCCCCTATCACTTAACTGAATTTTCGCTGCTAAAGCAGTTCTATGTTTGCTATTCACAGGTACTACCAACATTTATGATAGTAACCTTTATAAAGTCAATTTAATTATCTTTATCTTATTACAAATAATAAATTCAGTTGTCCTACAATGAAAATCAATTGTCAACATAAGCTATGGTTAACATCTAATAAAACAGCCCTCTGTAAATCCATGATTAATAAGATTGGCTTCTGTATTAACTAACAGACATCATAAAATTTCCTCCTTTGCATTAATCTGTATATTCAAGGTTCATCCTGTTAGACTGAGTTTCCTAAAATAAACTGTTAGAGTGAACAAGCAAAATTTTGGCGCCTATCATCATTTCATTATAACAATTTAATGAATGGTTTTGAAATTAATGCCATATTTTAATTAAGTCACAGAAGCTGCTGGCTTTAACAAAGGATAAGCATTTCACTCATTGTTTTCTTCAGCCTCTGAACAGAACACTGATGCCACTTACGTTTAGTTTTGATGGTTAGTGAATGTTAATTGAAAAGTGAAAAAACAGTTTCCCCAAACAGCCTTCGCATATGACAGTAGTTACTTAAGTTCTTCAGCATCAACAGAAAGCTGGCATTTACTCCATCAGAAACATCTTAACAAGATACTGACAACTTAATTCCAAAGTTGAAGTAGTGGCCCCTACATTTTGCCATGATGCTCAGTTCCTGAAAATAGGGGACATCTGCTGTGTGAATCACGGTACCATGTTTTGTAGATAGATTCCTCTTTCTGTCATAAACACAATTCCTACAGATCTTGGCATGATCTTGGGACCACTACTGTTGGTGGGAGCTTCAACAGACCTTTGATCAAGATATTTAATAGCAGAATGATACAATCATACCTATCCCAAAAGATCTCTAAGTCATTTTACAAAGTAGGGGAAGGAAAATTCCCTGATGTACCTATGAAAAATGCAGAATTAGGAATTAAAACAGCTGCCACGATTACCTAGAGAAATCCTTCTGAACATCATGAAACTTTTAGTTGCCAGAGAGTAAAGAGGGCCTTGGATTTCTGTTTTTAAATTATCATTGCCAAGTTAGTATGTACTTCAGAAATAGAGAATCTGATCCCTCACCTTACCATTTTTATATAAGCCAAGAGACTGCTGTAGAATTATCCCCTTATAAAATAAGAGAGCAAACCTCTAAGAAGCAGCAATCATTATAACTCAAGTGGTTATGGAGAAGGAGAAAATAAATATCTTACCACATACTTCATCTGTTTTGCTTAATACTTGTCATAAACACTAAAAGAAGAGACTATTTTCTTTGCTGCTAATTTTGTTATTTTTCACTTTGAAAATAGCCAGGTTAATTAGGCTAAGAAAATATTTTTTTCTTTCAATTAACTTATGCCAATGAAAATATAATTCTTTTTCACATAAAAAAATCTTCACATAGTAGCATTAGTGCTCTGAACATTATCAGAATGAAATTATAGTCAAAGTTATGTTATCAGCAATTGTAGACAATCATATTTAGAAAGACTCAAACCCTCAAATGTATTTTATATCTGTTTATTTCATTCTTACATTTTGGTAATTAAAAAAAATAAAGTATACTTGTCAAGTTCAACATTTCAGTCACTGTGTCTCACTCACTGAATTACAGTGTTTGGGTTATAACAGGCCAAGAGTCCCCAGAGTATTTCAAGTGTAACTAATAAAGCCAAGGAAACATTTATAAGTTTAATATTCTGGAGAGAGAAAAAGCAACAACAGCACACTCCAGTTAATTCCCATTACTTTACAAAATCTAATTTCATGCCACCTAAAAGCTGAGTATTTTCATATAGTTTTGCACATTATTCTACATCTGACAGGACAGCGTTTGAAACAGAATAAGCATGATAAATATTGTTCAGATCCCTTATAGAAATGGCAGTTCATTCCAATCTTTTTCCCTGAAGAGAGAACATGGAATCGAGCATTAGTTCCTTTTTAACATGTCTGAAGAGCATATGCACAGTAATAAAGCACCCTCATTCTTGCAGGCAGGCCTTATAGGAACCAAAGATGATTTCAGAATGTACTGTGAACATAGAGATCTAAACATTTGCTTAGCTGCCCTGTGTTCCTACTGAGTTGTGGGTTTTCAACATTTTCAAGAATGAGCGTAGCAGTACTGCTGTGAATTGAGTTTGGGTTCAACCTTCAAGAGCAGCCTACTTTGCTAGGTGGTCCACCTGTAATACTGCACCATATAAACCCTACTAACACAAAACCTGGAATGATTTATTGTTATTTAAGTTCATAAAGCTACTACGTGTGTGGGCAGGTAGTTTATAGAGCATAGTCCTCTACCATACAAAGTAGTTTCTAACAAGAAAAGAAAAAATAGTAGTCAAATGGATATAAACAGTCATTAAAAAAGTATATATTTAGCAACTATATATTTTCCCCCCGTTTTTAATGTTCTAAAAGATTAGAGCTTGTTTTTTCCCCTTCAAATACTTTATGATGGAAAAGTAATTTTAGCCTTTTTATATTTTTCCATCTCCTTCTACATTTAAATTTTCTTTTATCACCTGAAGAGTTCTAGGCTCTCTTGTTTCCTCTGCTCATTTAACATATGGTTACAAGGGTGACTGATATCTAACAGAACAAAGAAAGGTAGAGCCTATCAACTACGTACCTTCTCACTCCTCTCTAGTCCCACACAACTGCTTCGATACAACAGCAGTCAACTTGGAAGCAGAAAACTTCCTTTCCTCCACTGTCTATTCATTGCTCCCTTTTAATTGAAAAGAAAGCCGGTGGCTCTGATTATTGTTTCTTGTTGTCTTTTTATCAGTCTCTCCACATTCTACCATATTACATGAGCTTAAGCTCTTCTTTTTCCTCTGTTCATTTTACCATTCATTCTACACATTTACTGGTTGTTTTTTTCTTTTCTTTTCTTGCAGTTAATTCAAGAGTTGTGCCACCTGGCTGCTAATCTGGAATCAGACAAAAAAATCACTGGGTTAATTAGAACATGGCTGTATGCTGCAATCCCAGTCACACCACAACTCCACCTCCAGCTCAGCACAACTCACTCAGTCAGGATATGACCTTGCTACTTGTTCTGTGGAAACAACTTCCACACTTCTTATGAACGATACTTTCTAACAAGCCAAATTCTGTAAACTACCCTACATCACATCAATTTCCTCTCTTTGGGTTAAAGCTGTGTATCTATTTAGCCCTGTGTAAGCAAAGTTAAGGAAGAGGTGTTTCTTACAGCTAAACAAGTAGGTTTTGCTTTCTACTTTAGGGATTGCCCATACAACAGAGATCTCAAAGAGCATTTAATTAGTACCAACATCTGTTGATCCTGCACCAAAGCTCAAACCACAGGTCTAAAACTCTCTCTTAAGTGTAGCTCCTTCATTAAAAAAGCCCTCACCCCAGTTTGAATATAGGATTATTCTAGCAGAAACAAGTTATTAGTTTTTCAAACCTGCTCTTGTAACAGATGTTCAACTAAAGCCTCGGCAAAATGCCTGGTCCTAAATCATGGTTAGCAATCGGTGCTGGAGGTTTAGACTAACACTTCAGCGTCAGAGCCACCTAGTGGAAGAAGAGACAGTGGCAAGGAAGCAGAGACAGGCTCTGTATCCAAATTTTTCATCCCATCCAGCTTTCTGGTGACCACTGGGCACCAGGCCCAATGAAAGTAACAATGATCTGCCATATTATTGCAAATAATATTTGTAAGATGTGTAAGAAAACACATCTCTCTGAAAAGAGAAAGCAAGCAGTCCCAAAGATTCATTCATCTGTTAAAGGTCCTCAATATGAGAAAAGCAATCCGTGTTCACACCAGGGCAAATCAAACAACTATGGATAAGGGTAGTTTCAAAAAGGATAAATAAGCGTAGATTCTATCATAATTTTAATGGATGTGATCCTTCCTTGGCACTGGCTGCTCCAGTTTGTTCTTGTGAACTCTGTATGAAAAATTAAGGGTGAAAGACTTGAAGAAGTGCCTTTTAGTTAGGAAATGCATAGATCACACTAACAAAAATCTTGTCAGTGTTAAAGAATGTGGTACAAGAGCCTAGATGCCAAGCCTTGGAAAATTCTTACGCCCATGATGTTTCTGTTGTCAGAATTCCACAATACACCGACCACTTCAATGGAGACATTTCCACAGACAAAACAGGATTTCAAAACCCCTTTTAGGGGTTTCAAACTTCATATAATGGAAAGTACTTAGCTTATATGCCAGATCTAAGACATTAAAAATAAAAAATAATAAATTTGTGGACGTATAGCTGCCTTGTTCATTTGGAAGGGAATGCTTTTGTCTCCTGCTATCTGCTGCTAAAGAAAAGCAATTATCTTTGCCCACAAAGAGAAATTAACAGGTAAGAAGTGATACAGAAATACAGAAAAATCAGTCCATCTGGTGCTACAGCTAAGAGAATCACAGTGCAAGGGCATAATCAAAATTACTCATCTTCATCAGCATTTGTCTGAATGGTGTCCAGAGAATCTATTTTGCAGAGATAATAATGCTTTAGCTATGTTATCAAGTTTAAGACTGAAACCACATATGCGTACACATCTGTACTCCATGTACAACTGATTTATTTGAAAGTATCCTAAAGACAACTATCTACTTCATAGTAACAGGAATCAGAGTAAGGCAGGTACAGAAACAGATCACATATTTACAATAAGAAAACAGCATTATTCCATATCCCTTCCTGCTACTACAAATCTAAGAAGCAGAAAGCAATCTATTACTTGACAAGATAAAAAATGTCACTTAACATACAGCACTGTAACCTGAAGATTGCTTTTGTTGCTTTTTTTTTTTTTTAATAAAACTGTTAATACTTTGTAAGCCATCATATATAAAAATAGAACAAAGGCAGGACATATCACGTCAAGTTTTGATCCAATGTTGCACCAATATATCACTATATACAGAGGCAGAACAACCAAGAGAACTTATGGCTCAGTAGATAACCAAAAGTACTTTATAAAAATCTGCAGTATATATGTATGTACGTATATCTTAGTTCACTGATCTTAAGGGTAGCTTAGATTTAGGAAGTAGCTGTTCTGTCATATCTTCAGTTTTGTTTTTCTCCAACATCGCTGCAGCTTTGTTCTCTTTATCTTTTTTGTGGCTCCTTTTGTGCTGAAATTTAAAGAAAATGTGTGATAAGTTTTGCACGTTAAGACAGTGCAGGTCCACGATACATTGGTGGAAGAGAAAGGTCAAAAAAAAGGAAGTAAAAAAAGTCATCAAGAAAGCTAACTTTTATCAGGTCTCTAAGAAAATACACTGTATTAAATTTCATCTTTTCCATTAAACCAAATGCATGTATCTAGCAAATCATGATATTTTTCTAGGTTGTTAGAATGTTCATTTTAACTGAAGTTTAACAAAGCATATTCTACAGCATTAAAAGAAGTTGTGAGACTACACTGAAGGCTATCAGCAAATGATTTTATACTACAAGCCTATTATAGAACAATAGCTTTCTTTCACTGTTTAGAATACCTATGAGTTACCTGGAAAAAGGGAATGCCCCCATTCGCATGACAGCTTATGTTTATATCCACTAAGTACTTGTCACCACCAAGGCTTTCACTGGATTCTTGCATCCCTTCCTCCTCTCCTAGCAGGTCCTAAAACAGAAGCGTTCAGAGAAGTTCACTGAATGTTTGAATTTCTTACGTGAATGGAAGTGCTGCATTTCTTATAGATCTAATTGTGTTTTATATATTTTTGTAAAACAGAAATGAGAGCCTCTAAACAACTCTTAAGGTATTCCCTTGTTTTTCAAGACAGTGTTTTTCTCAAAAGCTCAGCATGCAACTCCAAGTACCATGCAGGAACGCTGCAGCAGCGCTGGGTTTCTAGTCAAATTTTCACAGAATTTAAAAGAACACAAAACTCTTTAGAGATATGAAGTCTTCATTGATATGTTTGTAAATCATATGCATACCTCATCTGCATTCCCCTCCACTTCTTGTATCACACTGTTCAGCATAGCATCAAGCTTTAGTTGCTTTTGCCTCAGTTGTTCCAGTAGAAGTTCCCTGGGTTCTGTTTTCACCAGTGTGACTGGATAAGAGTAGTCTCTTCTCTGTGGAGTTGTCCCTTTAATGCAGATGGTATACTAATGAAAGGTACTATTAAACACATAAAGCAGCTACTTTAATTACAGCTCATCAGTAACTCAATCATTAACTCAATACAGAAGTCACACTTCCTTCAGTCAATCTTTGCATTCACCTTAAAAAAAAAGTGCAAGATGACCAGCTGTATTATGTTCCTATCAACCTCTGAATATGAACTCCACAACTCAGATTGCTTTCCACAAGATTGACTCCTGCCCTACTTGAAATACCTGTTGGAATATCCACTTTAAGATCTTCTTTCAGGAAACCATTAACCTGAGCCAGTCCATGCTGTGCTTCTTCATTAAGTGCCAGCTTCTGTTCCAGAAGTATCCCCTGATCAACTTTCATTCGATCAAGGAGGCCATTTAGTACCTTCTCTTCAGCACATTTTTGAGTATCAATTTGGTCAGCAATTTCAGCTATTGCTTTATCACAGTTTTCTCTGTTTTTCTAGAACAAACAACAACAGGAAAAAAGAAACAACAAAGCACAAAAACATCAAGTTAACAGGAAAGTTAAGGTTATGGCCTCTTTTCTAAGATGTGGGTGCATGGTTAGTGACATGATCTAAAACGAAACAATTGTGAGACCTCAAATTGAGAAGTTTCAGTGCCAATTTTACATTCTCATTTCGAGAACTATCTTCAGAAGAGTCAGTTTCTTAGAAAGTATGATCATTTCAGAAAGCTACTCTTCAAAATAAAAATGATGCCACCTGGTTCAGAACAGAATTTTTATGTGTCTACTCATAACACTACATTAAATTAGGATTTTTAAGGCAAAGTGATGAAATCCTACCAGGACTAGAAGCTTTATACATTTCTAGAGGACAAAGAGGAAAAACAACATACTTTGTCCTTTCCATTGGAAGGAAGTGCCTGAAGTTTTCAGTAGGTATAATAGATAAAAGAGCGCCTTTCTCAAGACTATAAATGCCTTAAGCACTTTAATTTTCTTAAAGTTAGCAAAATAAATTGGACTTGTCTGTTTCATTACAGCCTATAATTTCATCTCTGTCTAAATCTCCCCGGGACACTACCTGTAATTAAGCTTTAGAATTAGAACTACATGCTACAAGTGGTAAAAAGCTTAAAGTACAGATGGAAGTTGCCACATGGGATTAATCAAGACACTTTTTTTTTTTTTTAAAGTTATTTGCACTGCTAGTTTGAACTCTTACTCAAGTTAAGCTTTTTTATTTCACCAAAATGCATTTATTAGCATAAGTCTGCTATGATCAAGACTCCATTTTATACTGATTATAGTTAAGAATTTTCCCATATGAATTCTACTGTAGAAGTAATCTAATGCAATATTTGGAGACAAACAATAGCTACAGGTACCTTTTGAAAACACATTAACCGTTGATTCTCATCCCTGAAGGACAATAGCTGCTGATTGGTAAAGCTGGCTATCTGAGCAATTGTAAGTTCAGCACATTTATCAGCATCCTGAGACACATTTCTGAGATTGATGAGAAGTTGCTGACAGTGGTCAGTGGAATCTTCCAGCATCCTCCTATTTTCACCATTTATAATCCTGAGCTCCTTAGAAAAGTTATCCATAGATGCAAGAAATCTGCTATGATTAGAAGCTGTACTGCTGATTAGGTCCGTAGTTTTCCTGCAACAACAGATATGTAACAAATCAGACATTTTTGAAAGGTGGATTTTAACACATGTTGCATCAGTTTATACCAAAAGTAATCAGTTCCTTACAGGTGAACATCATCTTGCACAGCAGCGATGGTGGTCTTCAAGCTTCCATTTTTTGCCAGTACATCTGCTAAGTTCTTCTGAGTCTCTTGAGCAAACAGGTCAAGCTGTCTTTGTAGTGAGGACGTTAACTCAGTTGCACTCTGTTAAGAAAAGTCATATCTTTCAAGAAAGATCACAGAATCACAGAATTGCCAGGGTTGGAAGGGACCTCAAGGATCATGAATCTCCAACCCCCCTGCCACACGCAGGGCCACCAACCATTCCACCTAATGCTAGACCAGATATAACATAGTACAGCTTTATTATTCTAAAGCTGAAGTTGTATTTTTTCTATAGATGAGACAGACACTGCCTTTGGAGATTTACGTGAAGGCATATAAAATGGATGTGCTTATAGCAATGGTAATTCTTGTTACTTTGCTACATAAGATACCTGAAGTCACACAACAGAAGCTGAAAAGAATTAGGATCACCAAGCCACTGTCCTACCTTTGCTTCTGAAACAAATACCATGGTTTACTGCTAGAGAATTTAAGAATAACATGTGACACTACAATTTCTCTTTACTCTAAGGGTACCTTTGTATGTGCTAGTCTTGTCATTTCCACTTCTTCTCTTAAATTTTCACAATCATTCTGAAGCTGAGCAAGAACATTAGCTGTTTCTTCCTGTAATTTTTTCAGAGTGAGAGAAAGATCTTCAAAGAAGGTATCCGTTTCTTTTTTATGACCTTCCATCTTTAAGAAAAACAGAAATATAGTCTAAGTTAAATGTTTGTTATTAGATAAGAACTGGATATTATCTGTAGCATAATGGGCAAGAGAGGGGAAAAGAAATCTTTACTTCACAAAAAACTGTCAAAAGTAAGTATAGTGGATAACTGGTAGCAAATAACTTGTAGAACATTCTGAAGTTACAAAATGGCACTTAGTATGGACTTTCCTAAACAAAATTCAGCAAAGTAGACAAAATAGGAGTCAACATACTTGATTAAGACCAGAGTAAGAAGCAACAGTTTGTAAGACATGTACTTGTTGCTGTTAAAGCTTGAAAACCAGCAGACAGCCTCTAGATGAAGTGAATTTATTTCAGATGAGTGCAATTGACAGAAGAGGGAAATTTAGTCCTCCACCTGGAATTGAGGTGGTTTTTTTTTTTTTTCCAACAAAATGGAGAGAATAAAAGAGTGGAGCTGCAGTTCAAAGACTTAAAACATAATTGCCCAAGGAGGTTGTGAAGTCACCATCCCTGGAGGTGTTCAAGAAACATTTAGATGTTAAACTGAGGGACATGGTTTAGTAAGAAATACTGGTGAAAGATGGATGGTTGGGCTGGATGATCTTGGAAGTCTTCGCCAACCTTGGTAATTCTATGATTCTGTGATAACATAGACCAAAAAAAAAAAATCAAGCATAGGACTTCTATAACTGTAGCACTGTCTATGTATATTGTTATTGTACAATACAACATTCTCCATAATAAAGATAACTAGGAAATAAAGTTTGGTACAATAGCAGGAGAAATTTGAAGTGATAGAACTCATTTAAGTCAGCTGTTTCAGACTTCTATAATACAGTAGACTATACCAAAAATATTATCAAATATCTGTTATACATAGCCTTAAGCATCTACATTTTATCATTTGTCTGCAGTATTTAGGTGAGCAGCTGTGCCAATATCGGTAGCAAGGGAACACAACACACACAAAAATGGAAGTCCAAAAGGAAAAGCTATAAAGTAAAACAACATAAGTGACAGAATAAAGGAGATAAAGCCAAACCAGGCATGAAAACACTAGCACCACAGAAAAGGGGGCATATGCAAGTTACATAAAGGAGAAAAGCACAAGAGAAAAATCTGTGTATTACCTTATCAACCACAGCTGAATATTTTTTCATGTTAGTCTGAAACTGACAGTTTAGGCCCAAGACAAATTCTACCATTGGTGTCAAGCTGTTTAATGCACTTCCTAATCCTGATGCATGCTCCTCCTAGAAAGAGCAATAGGAAAAAAAAGGTGAAACAAGATATGGAAGTCTCTTCAGTACTTTTCTAAGAAGCTATTCATATGGATAAATAAGGTCTACATGCTCTGCAGTTAGCTTTTGCTGTACAGCACATTACAGCTCATGATGGGATGAGAAGGGAAGAGGGACATAATCATGGCCAAGTGTTGAAAGAGAGCGTCAGGTAAAAAAGATTGTTTATAGCACCTCTTCTGATAGAGGACAATTTCATATACTTCAAATAAGAGTATGTAAATTTACTAACAATTAATCTCAGTAGCTCAGCTTTATGATCAAGTGACAGATTCTCGTGTTGCAACACTTTTTCAGACATGCAGGAAACTTCTGTAGACACCAATTCCTTAAGAGAGGCAAAAGATGCTGATACAACTGATGTAAGAATATTAGCTGCTGAAGAACTGGTAGACAAGATGTCACCTACAAAAGAAATTGTGAAGTGTTACAAAACTTGCTACTCTTAGCTGACCATCCGAGACACATTTATTATCTACTACTGTAGTGCATGTATTACTGTAGTAATCACTATACTGTTTAAAATAAAGCTTAATTTTTCTACTAATACAGATCTAATTTAAAATGCTGATCTTTGATAGTACTATTGCAAAATATAAGGATGACCTTCACATAGAGGTATTACACTTACCTATAAAATGTGTGTAAGACATCAACATCTGTTGCTGCTTCACACTGTTCTCATTAACTGAATCTCGTATTTTGGTGAACAAATCAGTCATTTGTTGTGCAAACGTATTTTGGACAACAGCATTGTGCTGATCAACAGCCTTCTTACGGTCCAGTTTTGCATGAAGACCAGATACATCTTTTGTGGTTTCTTCAACTGTATTAAGCAACTAAGATTTTTTAAATGTTATTTCAGTAGATATTTAAATCAGAAGCCAAGCATAAGTTTATGTTCAGAAGAACTCTAGTTCTAAGTTGAAAGTGAAGCAGATATTTCCTTTAATATCAAATTACAACCATTCTTAATCTTGTGTTATGCCATCTACAGTCTCAGAACATGAAAAATTTACCTACTAGAGAACATTTGCCCCCAACTGTAAGTATTAAAATAAGACATCCTTAGTATTCAGAGAATTAGAATATAATGAACACAGAACAGAAACCAAGAAATTCCCAGTAGCTTCAAATGTTCTGAAGGATTTGACAGTAAATATATTTAATTGTACTGAAAGTGATTTCCAGTATTATCTGTGATAATTTAGAATTTGAAAGTATAGCGGAAATTTGGTTTTGTAGTTTGTGTAAATGATTTCTCTACCCATTTATCTCACACAAACATTCCACAACCCACATGAAAAACTGAGCAACCCACTCCCAACCTTACAAAAACCTGAATAGAAAGAACTTTTCGTATTGACTAAAGACACGGGATTAATCACTTTGCACTTTAAATAGCAGGACTCTGCCTCTATCAAGTCTGTTTTGAAAATTAAGACCAGTCATAAACACATCAAAAAAGCCCCTAAATACCCTCTAAAATATAGAGACATGGCAATAGTTTCAGTTACCTAGTGAGTATTATTGCACACGTCCCTTGCTTCTTGCAATTTCTCTACTCTAGTTATGCATAACTTACTCTGTTTTAGGGTCAGGCTTAAGTGTCTAGTTATTCTAGTTATTCTGCAATACAACTCATAAAAATAGATAATGAAAAAGCAAAGCACTGAAACCCTCATGAAAAGCCAGCTCCAGACTGACAGTTTGCTGTTAGATACACTGGCTAATACTTTCACAGAGGAAGCCTTGCAATCTCTAAGTAGCTTGCCACTATAACAGGAGGGTCAAATCATAATTTTTCAGAGGGTCAATCATAATTTTTAAACCTTAAATTCATTTTTGTCACTGTCACATCATCCTTTAGTGACAAAGACATCTTTGAACAGATTGCTGAACCCTTAAACAGAGGAAGTTATTGTTCAATTAGATGCCAGGAGATTGATAACCTTGCTAGCTGTGCCATGAAGTTTTTGTTCAGCATTTTCCAAAACTGAAACCACATATTCTTCTTCAGCCAGATGAACTTTGGTTTCTTGAAGATCCTTTTGTGTTTCTTCCAGTTCCTTCTCCATGATTTCTAGATCTGTTTTACACTGCTCAAGTTCGTTTTTATTAACTGTGAACAGTTCAGTTACCTACAATGCAAGACAAACATAATACAGTAACACTGCTCTTCGCAAGCTCAGCTGCAACTCATCATGTATCCTTAGTTACGTCGCAATACTAGAAAGCAGTTTGTTATCTACATAAGCAAGCAAGTTTCAGCTGTAAGGCTCAGAAGTCTTAAGCCTGACTAGAGACTAGACGAGTCTTTATTTACTGAAAATATCACAAACCAAAACTGTTTTTATTGTGAAAATCCTTTACTTCCCTATTCAAGTCACAAGACCACGCATTCATTATATCACAATGAAGGAATCCCCACTAAACAAATATAAGCTGATAGAATGAGGAATAATCAGTAAAACTGATCAAAATGTAAGCCTGTCTATACACACTAGTTACACAGTCCATTTAAGAGAAGTTTTCCAATTTTCTGCATATTCTTGTTAGTGGGAGCTCATCATCACCACCCCCCTCTCTCCTCATTCTTTACTTCTAAGCAGATAACTCCAACTGAGATTATGCTGTTTTACAAGAAAATTTTTGCTGAAAATTCAGCAAAGAAAATTCAAGGTTAAGTTATAAACATTGAAAGAGTTTTTTTTTAAAAAAAAAATCAATACTGCATTCTGCAATTTCTTATATAGCATCTGAAATTCTCAACTTCTAGAATTAGAAGATTCCATCAACTAATTACTAAGGACATTTAAGACCAAAATTTTTCAAACTGTTATTGTTCAAACAACTCTCTTCCTTCCCTCAAGACATCTTCTCTTTATTTGGGGGATTTAAGTCGCATTGAGAAATGGCACTTACTCTTTTCATCTCTTCCTCCATGACAGTGATTTTGTCAATATATTCTGCAATTTGTTCTTCCTGAACCGTCAGCTTTCCATTAAGGGCTCTAAAGCAAAGATTAATAAGAGCAATAACAGTAATAAGGCTGATTTCTAGATCAGCTATTGGTCTCATGCTGCATGTTTAGTCATTTCAAGAAGCATTGTTGACTTCAGCATTAGAATTTTCAATTAATGAAGACAGGATTAAAAGACAGCTTATTTTGCTTTGTTAGAAGACTTGTTCATACAGAAAATTTTAAATAGAAATTTATATATAAGCTGATAGAGCAAGTAAGATATTAAAAAAAGATGCATGTTCGTTTTGCATGTGGCAAATTCCACAAAGTTCCCAGTGCAAGCGTATTTCATAGGCTTCTATTTGTGTAATAACTAATTTCTAAAGAAGAAAGTAACTGGTCAGTTAAATCTTTCTAGCTTAGCCTTATGAAAATAGATCTGGAAACGTTTCTGTTTAAGGATGGGAACCAATATATGCTGTTAGACATTTTATAGCAATCCTGAAGACGTACTCAAAATTTTCAAGGGAAATATAGACGCCATTTTTCTCACGTGTAGCAGCAAGGTCTCGTTTCAGACGCTCAATCTCTTCAGTATATTCCTGCATCAAGAAATAACTGCATTTCAACTTGAACATTTATATTTCATTTTCAAAGTTCTCCTCAACAGATGTCTCACAAGATGGAATTACATGGAAATTTTCCACAAACACAGAGGGATGTTCCAGAATCTAGTGTTTCACTTGTGTCCAAATAAGTTCAGTGTAGCACAGATTGAATTCATACCATTGCACATATGTAGAGCATTGAAGCTTCCTATTCAAATTATTCTTTATCCCATTTAACAGTTTATATTGGGAATTGCAGCTTCTTTAATATCATTCATGTTCAAGTTTGCTTAAATTTAAGCATTTTCTAGGAAATTAAGCTGCTAATAGAGAAATCCACCAAAAAAGTATTCTACTGTTACATAGTAGGCCTTCACTATCTGGTGAACAGGTAATCTGTACACTGTCATAGATAATAGCAATCACACTGTCTCCAGCTTTAGTTTTAGCAACAGCTTCAGTATTTGCACAGTATTTAATAGTGTACCAGCAGAGTATCTTAGTAAAGCATCCCCTCAATGATTAAGATCATCTCAGAAATGTGCTTCTGGTAGTCAATTTCCCCATAGTTTCATAACATAATTTCTCCTGTGCAGGAACTAAAAGAATCAAATGTATTCTGTCTTTACAGTAATCAAATAAATATGTCTATCTTACCTTAATAAGAGCTTTTTTGGTCAGCTTCTGGTTAACTTCAGGCTTGTTCAATATGTTCTTTGCCCTGTGGGCATATTCTAATGTACTCAGTGTTTCCTGTGGTAAACAGATACAACATTAGGCTAAGCTGAGGAGAAAATTTTTTTTTGAAAAAACCACAAACATTTAGGAATAAGTATTCAGATTAAAATTTACCTCAAGATTTATAGATGCAGGAGAAATTGTCGCAATTATTGATGTTTTTGTTCGTCCTCCAAGAGAATCTTGAAGGATTCTTGTGAGTTTAGATTCCCTGTATGGAATATGTGGGGCTCTTTCTACTAGAGCAGAAATAACTCTCCCCAGAGTCAGGAGAGACTGATTGATATTTCCAGCTTCACGAGCTCTTTTGTCAACTGCCCCAGATCGACCAATGTTCTCACTTCCTGCAAGATCAACCTGAAAGAGGAAAGACATATGCTTCTACCTCAAATCACCACAAAGAACGCTTGTTCTGTCACAGAATGCAACACGCATGAACTAACACACACATTTGTTCAGGAGATTGTAGGAGCAATGAATGAGACACATTTCTAAGAATGACAAACAGTTCACATTGCTCAGAAAAATGACGATTTTCTCGCCCTTATAAGTGTTTAATTCTCAAGAGAATGAGGTTACATTGTTTAGTTCATTACTTTAGTACTGTCATCAATGAAATTTAATTCAAATACTTACCAAGTTTAGCTTCCCAATTTTAACAAGTTCTTCTCCATCTACTGTGGTTTCTTTCATGTGGATGGTAATTGAAAATACGGAGTGGGAACGGCTATAAAAGAATTCAATTTCAGACAAATATTTTTTAAGCCAAATTATCTGCTTTCTACAAGACATTACTCCAGGTTAGTTATCACTGCTCTTTATAAGGAATGCACCCCATTGCAAATGCATAATTGCAACTTACACATTTCCAATACAATAAAAATTGTCTATTTTTATCTCGGTACACATAAGGAAATCATAATCTAGCAGGCTAAAATACCAAACTTCAACCAGTTCTTCATTGATGCTTCTATCATGTGAGGCCAACAGAAATATTTGATGTTGATACTTCTACGTTCTCTACTCATAGACACTTCAAGAAAACTGGCTTGCAGTTTTTGTAAAGTTATTCCTATTGTATTGGCTACAGAACACGAGATTAGGAAATTCAGTACTTTATACAACTAAAGAAAATCAGAAAGAATCTGAATCCGATATTAAAGATGTAGAAATTCAATTTAGTTTTCATTCAAAACGTTTATTAAGTTAAAAAATACGTTAGCTTGAGATTATTTCTTTAACAAGCTTTCACAATGGGAAGCTGAGACATACAGTAAACCATAGAAGTTATAGCAGTTTGATCTCAATGACAGACATGAAATCTGGAGTTCAAGAATGAGAAGTCAGTAATAAATACTGAGATTTTTGACTAACATGTCTACCATATTCTGACTGTGAGCTGCAATCATATGACATAGCCTGCACTGCCATACAAACATCCCTTATTCTTATTCCTGACTTCCACAACACATCCTTCAGCACATTTTCAGAAGCTAGCATTATTCTATAAAAAACAGATCTGAACATTGTTTTGTAAGCTCAGTTTCAGAATCCTAATTATATCATTTCCTATTGTTGGTGAGGAGAGGAAGGGACACTTCATACGCTTATGCCTAGATTTTTTCCAGTGAACAGAACCAGGAAAAAAAAAAGACAATAATAAACCAATAATACCCATAATAGCTAGAACAAAGACAATCCATCTCTCTCACACAGGTATATCTATTAAACATCATCAGTATTTACTGTAGAGATTATTTATCCCATGCTTAAACATACAGCATGCTTCAGTGATATCTTTCAGACTTCTGTTTCCATAGAAATATAAAGCTTTGAGAAAGCTAACAGCTTAGAGTTATTAATAAGTTCCGATATTCTACACGTCAGACTAAGAATGTCCTACCTCTCACATTGCACCTGGATAGGTGGAATTTTGGGACTACCACTTTAATTGTATATTTAAAATAGCATGCAACCTTGAAACAAGAGCTTTTGTAATTGCATCTTCTTCTGAAAGCAACAGCTGTTTAAAATGTGAGATTCCATGATGTACGACACCTCTTCATACGTGTACTAGAATACATCAACCCACAGAATGCAAGAAAGAAAAAGTTTCTTGCTACCGTTTCCTAATCGATACGTGGCAACAAACTATAATATATAATCTCAAGATCAGGCAAGGCTTATTCTGGCTTCAACAATTTCTCCTTCTTCAGTAAAATCCAGTTTAATAGAATATTAACAAAAGAAGTTTCTGAAACAAGCAAGATTTGTACCTGGAATATGCATTCATGTAAGTAGCTGCAGTTGTTCTCTTTGCTGCACCCCTTTCCAGGATCTGATAGACTTCATTTTTGTTGTGCACAGTTACCTCCTCTAAGCCTTTAATAATTACACCTCTCTGTCAAAAAAGACAACACGTTCATTCTACCTCTTCAAACTGTTCCAGAAGCCTTCATATAACAGATTTTGGAAGACTGCACTCACCTTGTTTCGGGGGTCATCAAACATCTGCAGTCTTTCTCCAACATCAGGAGCAGGATTCAGAAGATCAAAAAGCTCCTCATTATATATTTCCAAAAGAGAGACTTTCACTGAAAATTCAGTGCCATTCTCTGTGAGTTTTTCAAATATTTGATGCAATGTACGAGGTATTATACCTGCTAATGGATCCTACAGATTAAAATGGAAAAAAAATACATATATAGATGTACAAAAATAGAGCTGGGGGAAGGAGTGAAGTAGTAGCAAATTTTAACTATGGTCTGTTGGTCTAATGGAAACAGACAAAAATACATTGAATAAAGATTATACTCTGTACAATTATTGCTAAGATTTGTATGTATGCATTAATGATGTAAAGTTCTGGTTTTCATAAGTAATGAGAACACTTGTTTATTTATTAATGTTTACCAAAAGTCAGCTTCAGTGTTTGAAAGAAATCAACTTCAGGCTGTCTTTAGCTTTCTGCAATATCTACTTTTGTATTACACAGTACAGCTACAAGAGAAACCTCATGAGTAAAAACATACCTCTTCCCAAGTGTACTCCTCGTTGGGTGACCGTTCCCCTTCCATTGTGAAAGTCTTACCAGTACCAGTTTGGCCATAGCTGTTAAGAATGAAAAATTAAGATGTAAACAAGAAACAAAAATTGAAGTGAAATTTTCTAATAATAATTACTGGGATACTTACGCAAACACTGTACAGTTATAGCCCATAATAACTTCATCCAAAATGGGACACACAACACTCCGGTATACGTCAATCTGCTTTGCCTGAGCTCCAAAAACCTGTCAGAGCAAAGACAACATGTCCTATTTATTTACCACTACAGTAACATATTGCACTGCACAGTGCAGACATCAGACTCTATTAAGAGAAACTTGCTGGGTTATATCTACAAGTCTCCAGCTTGACAAGCAGTTACCATATCAAACGTGTAAGTCTTTTTTAACATCTTGTCTGCGACTCCTCCAGTGCGGATGCTAACTTCTTTTCGTGCTTGATCACAGTCTACAACAGCATAGGAGTTGGCTTTACGTTCCGAGGCATTAAAAGGCCTAAAAGCAGAAGAGCATCAAATTAATACAATTGCTAACAGGAACATGAAGGCCATTAAGATGATCAGGGGGCTGGAGCACCTCTTCTATGAAAAAAGGTGGAAGCAACTGGGATTGTTTAGCTTGGAAAAGAGAAGACTCCAGGGAGACCTCATTGCGGCCTTCCAATATTTGAAGGGACCATATAAACAGGACAGGGTATGACTGTTTACATGGGTGGATAGCGACAGGACAAGCAGGAATTTTAAATTGAGGCAGGGGAGGTTTAGGTCAGATACTAGGAGGAAGTTTTTTTACACAGAGGGTGGCGATGCGCTGGAACAGGTTGCCAAGAGAGGTTGTGGATGCCCCATCCCTGGAGGCATTCAAGGCCAGGCTGGATGTGGCTCTGGGCAGCCTGGTCTAGTGGTTGGCGACCCTGCATGCAGCAGGGGGCTGAAACTAGGTGATCATTGTCGTGCTTTTCAACCCAAGCCACTCTATGATCCTACGATTTAAGAATCCACAAAATGACAACTGAGCAAAAGGAACATTAACTGATTTAAGTTAAAAGCTTTATATTTGTTTAAGGAAAACTGACACAACTTGCTTTCCAGACATTGTTCTCCTTCCATTTGCCAGGACAAATCAAGCATCTATAGCTTTTCATGCATTTACATGGCTAGTTGTTTGTTGTTGTTTTTTTAAAATAATAATAGTGTCCATAAATACATTTATGACTACTTAGCTGCACACATATTTAACTTGCATTTTAAAATGTCTTTCTTGCTAGATTTATCTAAGCAGCAAGTGAGGGGAGCAATGAAATGCTGCAAAGAGTTGTATGAATAAGCACCTTGAGAAAAGGAAAACTGTATATATAACAGTTAAGGTAGTAGTGAACCAAATCAATACACTTCAAAAGTTCCCTATTTTTCCACAAACAGTGCAGCCCAGCCCACACGTCTCTCATGAATGACAACTCCCTAAGCACCAGATATGCTAATACAGCCCACAGCTAGCAGAACAGCAGACAGCAATGCTGGAATCTTTATAATGCTGACATACTTGAATAGAATCCGTGAATTCTGAATAGAATTTTGTAAGATAGAAAATAATGCCTTTGGGTTTGGGGGACAAGAAGCCCATGCACCTTTTTATTCACATTTTTAAGTAAAGTTTAATAAGAGATAAAAGAAAAAAAAGTTCAGTATTTTCTTTTATCACTAGGTTAATCCAAATGTGACACAAAGTTTTCCTTATAGGGACATTAATAATAATCCCTCACAAAAAAATCACATGCCAAATCACAAAATGTGTTTTATATTTCATTCTGCAGTATTACTGAGGTGGATATCTGTTACCCATACAGGAACTTCTCACTGTTGTGGCTGACATTACCTCCTCATGGTAGCACTGAGACTGAAGAGTTAGATTCTAGATAGGCCACTTGATGCTTCAGCACAAGTCAGTGAATGGAGTCAGGCTGCTGTGGCAACAGCCGATGATTACAGTCATCTTGTTCACAGGAGCAAGGTATGGCTTTGACTTTGCTACTTCTAAAATAGCAAGAAGCTGAACAGTAACTGTAGCCTGCTTTGCAGCAATATAACAGAGAACCAGATGAATGCAGACCAGAGAATCACAGAAAGGCCTTATAGTCACCTCACAATTAATGGGCAATTGAATTAAACTAGAGCAAGTGCCACTAGGCAAGCAGCAACTTGGCAAACTGCGATGGTGTTTGGTGACAGGTTCATTCCCCTAAGTTATAGAAAGGACATTAATATACAACAGAATAATAGAATAGTTTAAGTTGGAAGGGACCTTTAAACGCAGTAGTACACACATTCAGAAGGTCCAAACTCACGTTTTATTGAAACATAGTGAATGTGTGGCTTGAGGTTTTTGAATCATCAGGCTTCAGAAGCAAATTAAGGGCCACTGAGACAACTGCATCCATTGATTTGCAAAGTGAGTAGAACTGGAGTGCAGCAGAAGGGAACGGGAAGGAGCTTTTGCTGCTCCAAAGTGTCAGTCACAAGAAAAGCAAAACACTGTTCCACCTACAATCCTGATGCTGCTGTAGTGCAGAACGCAATCTTGATTGAATAGACACCAATACACAGCAAGGCTGCAGCAGAACGATGCAGCACTGGTCAGAAGGAAAAGAAGCCAATTGCTCAACAGCGTTTCAAATACAACTGCTTCAAAATCATTCGTCTTTTGCAATATCCTCGCCTTTCACCAGCACTTACACCAGCCTCCTAACGCCCATTCCAGCACCTTCTTACTAGTAAGAAGCTAGTAAGCTTTTAATCGTTGTTTTCAGCGTGCGTTTGTTAAAGTACAACTCCCAGCGAGAGTAACAACGGGTAAGCAGCGTCCGTGCTGATGGCACAAAGAAGCCTCGCGAAGGCAATGTAGAACACGGTATCATTACCTACGCTACCCGTCGTTCAGCCCCCCCTTGCCTGTCCCGCACAGCCTCACACCGGATAGCCGGCGCTCAGCAGACGCTGACCCATCCCGCACGGAGCCCGCAGCGCTCGCCTGCCGCCCCGCGCAGCTCCCCTCCCTCGGGCCCGGGGCTCGCGGCGCCTACCTGCAGCGCACCACCACCTGGATGTTCTTGCCCTTCTCCTCCTTCTCCTTCTTCGAGCCGCCGCCGCCGCCGCTCTGGAAGCTGAGGGAGGCCATGGCGCACCTGGACGCGAGCGGGTCGAGGACGACAGTAGAGGCACCGGCCGCGCTGCACGGGCGCGGCTCAGGCTGAAGCTGAGACTCGGACCCAACCCAACGCCTGCGAGCGCCCGCCGCCGCCGCCTTCGAACCGCGCGGCGCTGCCGCCCGACCAATCAGCGGGCGCCCGCGGGGCATCATGGGACTTACTTTCAAATTTCGGGTATCGACGCGAAAGCACGGCGGAAGCGGCCGATCCTGCCGTGAGCACTGTGCATGCCGGGAACTGTAGTGCCGGCGGGGCGCCACGTGACAGGAAGACGGCGGCCCGCGCAGCCCCCCGGGGCCCCACCCCGAAACCGACCCGGTAGGGGGCGCCAGAGAGCGGCCCGTGAGAGCGCGCAGCTCCGCCCCGCTGCGGGGCAGCGCGGAACGTTTCGCCGGACACGGCCGTGCCTGCGGGCAGGAACTGCGGCAGAGGGAAGGAGATTCAATCGGTTCGGGACGGTTTGCTCTCAAGAAGTCCATACGGGATCCTACACGTGTACATAGCGTCACCTACTACGGTGCTTTTAGTTGCTGTTCTAGGGCTTTTCCAATTACCCAAACTAGGATTATCACCTATAATTCCACAGGTTCCTTCCCCACCCCCTATTTTTTTAAATGGATGCCTTGAAACTTATACCTCCTCCATGAGCTCCTACAGCTAATGGAATGAATCCCAGCCTGCAAGGCTTGAGGTCCTTTTTGTGACAGTGCTACGAAGCAGCAGCACACGGTGCTCCTTCACCATTTACCTCCTAAGTTACAGCAATGTCAGAGCTCATCACTTTAATCACAGACGTAACAGAGAAGGACACGAGGTGCTGGTTCTTGGTCTGCTGTAAGCAGGCATTGATTCAGAGAATACGAGATGTGTCTGACATTAAATATGGGCTGAGGATGAGGCAGGACAACAGCTAGGAAATCTTCAGTGCTTAACAGCAACGTTATTAACAGCCTCTCTCAGCCACTGCCTGCTCTTTGTTCCACGTAAGACCTTACTGATTTTATGCCACTGAAAATATGTAGCAATAATACACATGAAATAAAGCAAATATAATAAATAGCAAATATTACATAGGATATATATACTACATGAAAATAAAATTACTTTGCAAGGACAAACGTTTACAAGTTTGTAACCACCAGATGAGCAGCTGCCTTTCAACACCTATTTAAATTGTTTGCGCTCTAGCCCAGAAAATAAGGCAATGAATCCAAGAAAATGCTTGTAACAAAAGAAATCTTTTAATTTATAAGCACAGAAAAATACAGAATCTATGATTTCTACCAGTGTTGAAGCCTAACTTTGCAACCACAATGACTTTGGTGGGTTGATGAAACACTAATAAATCTACAGGCCTCTAATGAAACACTAAAATAACAATAATACATTTTGTTTCAGTTAAAATTTAACTAAGTAGCAAAATTAATACAAAAGCAACAGCAATTGCAAATTGAGACCACAATCATTCTTACTTTTTAAAAAATTATTATTATGTGTGTGCTAGGAGTAAAAAATAAATCATACTTACAGTTGTATTGGAGTTTCTGCTAGACTGGACAAGTTGAATGCAGGTTATGTAAACATTCTGAAACTTCACTTTTTGCTCTCTCCTCCTTCATACAGATCATAGAAGAGAAGGCAGCACTGACAGACAAGACATCTTTTCATCTCATTTCTGCCTCTCTGTTCTTTTCTGGTATGAAAGTATGATCTGCATTAGTCAGAATTTTGCTTAAAATGTGAACACATCTGTCATTAACATACAAGAGATCATACAAACTTGCATTTAAATAATAGGAATCAATCTAATTATTAGGAGCTAAATCTGTGGTAAGTGGAAAGCAGAAACTTCTGGTAATCAAGTTAGCTTAACAATTGCAGTTTAATAGCTGTAGCTCTGTTGTACAAAGTCGATGGATAGCACAATGGTCATACATTTCCTGAGAATAAGTTGAGCCTAAAGATACTAATACACAATAAACACAAACTGAGTAACAGGGAGCTGGCATTTCACAAACAATAAAAGTAAACACAAGAAAGAAAGAAGAATATTTAGGATAGTCTAAACAGTAGTTAGGAGAATGACCATTAGGAATGCATGTACATTGTACTGTGAGAAAGGTTTTATTTTTTTCTTTTTAGGAAAAGACAAAAAGCCTTACAGAAAAGTAATCCACATAGTAATACACACATCTGCCACAATGATTTCAACAGAGATTACTAATCCCTATTTATTGGTAAAAAAAAGGGCAGTTTTTCAATAAACCTTGAAAACAGGTCCATGTTTCATGGTGGTATTTGCAGTTTCAATGAATGTTTCAAAACTGACTCAATAAATCAAATCAGATGACCTAGATAATTATAGGTATGGAGGCTTGGCAAATAGAATTGTTGACACTAAAACACGATTAGCTAAGAATTAATAAAGTTATAATAATGGAGAGAGATAATTATAAGCTTGGCCAAGACTTCTTCAAGGCTCAACAGAACCTACCAATATGGTACACATTATATAAGCTGAAATGGGCTAGAGAAGAGTCTCCACATGCAATCACCACTAAAGAATTAGTAGCAAGTTTAACTCTGACAATGTTCAGTAAAAAGAGAAAATTTTGGTCACATCCTGTTTAATATTACCAGTAACATAGAATAAAAATGTACTGATTAATTGTATGACATTAAAGAGGAGATGACCCGTAACTCAGATTTATGTAACACAATCTCCACCTTTTGAACAACCAGACCAGCTGGCCAGCAAGATTCTAAACTCTTTGTTTTCCATATATAGAAAGTTGAACAATAAAAACTTACACACTGTGCTGGTGTATTTTATGCTAAGGACAGCAGTTTCCTTCAGTCACAGTAATAAAAAAAGCTGTTTCCCTGGTAAAGATGGAAGATAAGATGTGATAAACTAAATACCTCATTGTAAACATTTAAGGATTCAATGCATATGCAACATCAGTAAAAGAAGAATTGGTTTCAAATAATCAGAGAAAATACACACAATAAAGGGTCTCTCTTTCATGTGCATGTGCCAGATTACTCACTGTCAGGTGGTGGGACTTCTAAACTTGTTAGAGGTAACATAACAAGAAATTAATACCATACTTACAGGACCACATGCATTTGTATAATTACTTCAGAGCAAAGCTAAACTTTATCCTTACACTTACTTATTCTCAATTAAGATATGCTGCTAGATGACATTTTTACATGAAAAAAAAAGAAAATAATGGATGGGGAAAACTGCAAACATAGGTTTAATAGGACCCACTGAAGTCAAAAGGAAGTGTCTCCTCGACTTCTCATTATCATCTGAATTTCATATTTCAAAATATTAATTCATTCACTGTTTTTAAACTTAATGCAGTAAACAGAGAAGCATCCTTCGTCAGGAATATTATGGTATCTTTCCATTACCTGAGACTGTTGTATCTCAGTGACTGCATTTAGGTATGTGTCACACAAAGAGTAAAGAACATCATTTTTTTTCCCTTCTGTGTCTGAAACAAATAATAAAATAAGAAGTTACGGAGCATCAGGTAGATTGGTCATATGTACAAATACAAAAAATAAAAGGGAAAAAGAAATTACATCTACACCAAAACTTATTAGGAAAACCCCAGAAGCCAAACAAGTTGAAAAACAGAAATGTGTCAAGGTGTCAGTGAATATTATTCTAAATAGGAAAGCTGCCCTGGAAATACAAATAAATGTTTTGTATACTAAGAAAGATGTTTATACATACCCTTATTGCTGAAACTGGTGAAGAGTGGTCATATAGAACATTAAGCTCATAAAGAACGTTAAGCTTCTGACAGTTGTTTGTGAAACTATAATTATTCTACTTAGCTGTGAAGTTTGGGAGATTAGGAAAGTTTGAGAAAATGGAATTGTACTGGCATAAAAATGTCTGACCTTACTACAGACAATCCTTTTCTTCATAGTGTCTAAACATATGAAAATAGGTCTTTCTAACAGATGAAATTATACCAGTTAAACAACACCCGTACAATTACAGGCATTAAAAGCTTCTGTTAACAAGCCATTAGAGAAAAATGATTTCTATATAAAGATATGGGAGATATTTCCTGTGCCTAATCTCAATTTTCTAAGGGACTGTACCTGATTATTGTAACATAATTGCAGTTCAATATATCATGTTTATACATGACTTCTCTAATGAATACAGGTTCTGTTAGGGAATTTACAGTTAGATGCACAGGTGTTGTGGCTAAACATATTCCAATGGTGATCAAGAATGCTTTTTACATCTACACCTTGTTATGAAGCTATCTCTATCTATTTTAGATTAGAAATAACCAAAACCTATGGGATTTTTTTTTCAGCCTGAGGCCAGATTTCTTCAGAAGCAGTTTATGAGGGCTGCTCCAAAAGTAATGCCTCTTATTCTGTTGGCCCACAACATCAGAAGCAGATGTTGGTGGTATAGAAGTAGAGGTTGAATCTTCCCACCAATATTCTTTACATTTTGTTGCTGTGTGACAGATGGCAGCAGAAGGGCAGTCTGACACAGTGGGGTCTGATAAAAAAAGTGTGCATGAAGCATGGGTGTGTCACTGAATTTCTTCATGTAGAAACAATGGCACCCATTGACATTCTTCAGCACTGCTGAACATTTACAGAAACCAAACAAGATGGTGGGTGGTGCACTTCAGCACTGGTAGCAGTGGCCATCTCTACTGTTACAGATTTTTATGAGGATAGCATGCAGGCTCTTGTTCTCTGACAAAAATGTGTAACTAATGATGGTGACTATGTTGAAAAAATAGTGTTTTGTAGCTGAGCATTTGCACTGTCATACAGTGTTACTGCGCTCCCTATAGCTATTGTAATTTCCACGGAAGTAAGTAGGAGGCATTACTTTTGGAGCAACCCACAGAAATCCAACTACAATTTTACTTGAATCCAGAATTTTAGGTAGATGGAAAAATGAGCTTCTGTTAGAAACATAACAAGATTGTAACTGGAGTTTAACACTCATTGGCTCAGTTTTCAACAGGAATAGAAAATCAACGTTTTATTCTAAACAGTTTTGAACATGACTACTTTTAGGATTGCTTTTCCTGCACCGTACAGCCATGTCACATATCCTGAAGAGGGATCTGCTATTTTATTAGGCTTCTTCATGGGAATTTTTGAATAATTTCCACAGTGACTCCAAATCTTAAATCCTAATCTTTTTGGCAACACCTTTTTTTTTTTTTTCCTCTAGAGCAGCTGAGAAAATCAGCACCAACTGCCTTTAAACAATTTAAGTCTTATAGGGAAAAAAAAAAATTAAACAGCTGGGTTGTTTAATAGAGAAAGTTCTTCACTTTTGGTAAAGTGTTATATTAAAAATACTTGAAAAGCATGCAAAATATGTCCAAAAAAATTGGATGAGGGTGGTTTCTGGTTAGTATATAAATTGAAACAGAGAGTAGTTAATTATAATAATATGTGTTCCAAATAAATATCAGTGCAACAGCACAGCCTCTAATCAAGCTTACAGGGAGTCGAGTCAGTAAGACAGGTGTAAAGTACAGTAGGTGTGAACTTTATTGTGTTTGACGCGTGAAGATGTGATCTTTCATCATCACAGCTACACAAGGAGAAGCCCTCGCTCTAGTCGAGACTACTCCCAAAATACCACAGTTCTGCTGATGTAGTACGTTCCATGGTTACATGATTTTTGGTTATTGATATTCCACATCATAACATGTAGTTATGTAGTGCACTGGGAGTTAAAGAGTCAATACTCCAGGTCCACGGATAGTTCCAGGTACCTGGCTTTCAGAAGAGAACAAAACGACATACTACATACTCCAGAAGACATTGCGTTGTTCTGTTTCCATTTTCCATTCATAGGGAAAGATAGAACTGTTTGCAGATCACGAGATGTCTCTCTCTTTTGCCTTTCTGTTTCTCCTGGCTAGACATCTTGCCTTCAGCATTAGAGTAAAGCCTTTGGTTTTTGGACGCTCTCATTTTATTTGATTTATTAGCTTCAAGTCCAATTATATTGTATTATATTGCGTTATTTTG